AGCGCGAGGATACGGTCTATTGTGGACTTACCAGGAGTGAATCCGGATTGCTCCAGTCTCTGGTGCCTCAGTAGATGGTCTCTGATACGTCTCAGAAGGATGTGGGCGAGAACCTTGCCTGGTACACTGAGCAGTGTGATGCCTCGGTGATTGCTGCAGTCCCACGGTCCCCCTTCCCCTTCCAGAGAGGGATGACCACACCCCTCAACAGGTCAGGAGGAACGGAACCGGATTGCCAGATGGCAGCCAGGACAGCATGTAACCCCCGTGCCATAGGTTCACCACCAGCCTTTAAACAGTTCAGCTGGTATGCCGCAGATACCAGCTGCTTTACCACTCTTCAGCTTGGAAATCGCCCCCTAACTTCAGTTAGGGAGGGAGGGTCCTCACTGATGGGTGGATCTGGCAGCGGGATCTCGACACTACCCGCATCCAAGTTAACTGTTGGTGGGTCAACCTGGTACAGCTGCTCAAAATACTCAGCCCAACGTCCCGCACCGCAACAGGATCTGAAACGATCTGACCACTTACTGAGCGAACTGCTGTCACCTGTGAAGAGGGCTTGGAGTTCAGCTTTCTCAGGGTTTGGTATGCAGGACGAAGGTCATTTACTAAGAAATGGCCTTCTACCTCCTCTGCAAGACTCCTAATAAACTGTTCCTTGTCCCTTCTTAACAGGGACCGAGTTCTGCGCACATGAGAACGGTGCAATTCCCGATCCCCTGTCAGACGAGCCGCACGACATGCATCTGTGGCTTCCAGTGTCTCCCGCGAGATGGAATTCTGTACTGCTCTCGGGCGTACACCAATCGTATCTTGAGCTGCATCAAGCGTTTCACGCTTAAAGGTATCCCACAGAAGAACAGGGTCTGTCAGACTGCCAAGCACTGCGAAACGATCAGAGATTGCCTCAGCAAACCCGCGGGCACACTCCCCCTCCCTCAGCCTGTCCAAATGAAACACCCTAGGGTGATCATTTAACCGCTGGGGGGTTTTGAAGTGGACTCGGAGGGTAGCCACAACCAATCTATGGTCAGTACCACAGAACTCAGCACTCCTGTACACCCTGCAATTTTGAAGGATCCTCCAACGAGTGCTAACAAGTATTGTGGTCGATCTCCTTGGCTGCGTTACCCGCATCACTGTACCATGTCCAGCGATGAGGGTCTGGGCGCTGGTACCAGGAGCCAGAAATCCTCAATTTCTGGGACCTAGCAAAGTCCCGGGAAAAAGGAGTCTATTTCTCGCTACCGGCATCAAGCTCCTGAAAACCAATGGGGGGGGGGACCCGGGATCAGGACATTTTCTTTCATAAAGGGGCCCAGGGCTTTTTCGGGATCACAAAAAGACCAGGGATTTAACCCCGGGCATTGGAAAGGGTCGGGGGGGCCAGGGGGGGAAACCCCAAAATTTGCGGAAATAAAAATTTTTTTTTTTTTTTCTCGGGTCGGGGTATCTGGTTCTGGCCACAA